GAATCCCGCAGACAACTTAGATACAACTTAGATATCATCACTTATTTGGGGGAAAGAGGTTCTAGGCATTGAACTCAGGGGCACTCGACCACTGAGCCACATCCACAGCCCTATTTTGTATTTTCTTTAGAGACAGGGTCTCACTGAGTTGCTTAGAAATCACTCCTTTTTATGTGCACACAGATACGCACACAAACGTATATATATACATATGCTTATCAATGCGTAGAAATAGGGAGATGAATCAGACAAAGGGAAAGAGAGGAAAGAATTTTAGACTCTAAGAGAGGACATATTTAATTCCCCCTGTTTCCTGGTATCTCTTCTGGGTAGATTTCTAATCAGGGATAATATTCAACAATATTTAGGAACCAGCAGATAGACCCAGGCCGTACACCACTCAGCATATGTCTTGATTCTAATAAGCAAAACCAAGATCTGCCAAACCCATCTGCAGCCAGATCTCAAGGAAAATGGAAAAAAAAATATGGAGACCAGACGAGGATTCTCCATGCTCAATTAGGGAGTCTTGCATGTACCAGACATAAACATCCTCACAGACTCGGTCTCCTTTTCCCAATTTCTCATTTCTATGTTAATTCTTTGCCTCTTTAGCCATCTGATGGGGGAGTCAGGGGCCATGATGGAAGATGGAGGGAATAGCCATTACGATCCTCATCCAGTTCTATTATTTCTCTAGTTAGTCGTGTTACGTGGCGGTCTTCTGCCTCTGCTTATGCAAGTGGAGAGGCAATTCTTTTGAGATCCGTGCAAAACACATAAGAGAGCAAGCTCGTGATTATTACTAACCAGCAATGAGGCTGATGCTGATCAATGAGCTACTGCGGCAATAATAACAAGGAGGCTCTTTTCTGAATTAGACTCTTTTTATTTTCCTTTCACAACACCTAAGGCAAACATGGCACGCTCCCGTGTGATCCCAGAGACTAAGTTATATCATCTTTTCAGAGCAGATTTTGAAATATTCAGATAAATAACTATAAACTCTGGTACAACCTTCTCTCACTTGGGTCTAACTCTCAATTTTATACTTCTTACGGGTAAATAGTACTAAATGATGAAGCTCTTGGGAAGAATTCTCATTATGATTATTATTATTTTTTTGTACTGGGGGATTGGAACCCAGGAATGCTCAACTACTGAGCCACCTCCCCCAGCCCTATTTTGTATTTTATTTAGAGACAGGGTCTCACGGAGTTGCTTAGCACCTCGCTGTTGCTGAGGCTGGTTTTGGACCTGCCATCCTCCTGCCTCAGCCTCCTGAGCTGCTGGGATTACAGGCATGCGCCACCGTGCCTGTCACTTTGTATGTATTTTCATACACAGAATTTCTTTGCTATCTGAATTTTACTGATGAGAAAAATAAAAGACAATGGGGTTAAAGCCATACCTCCAAAGTTGCTTAGCTAATAAATAGGGGGGTCTAGATTCCACCCAGAGAGCCTGCCTCCAAGGTCTTCCTGACCTATATTCAATTAAGGATCTGAGATATAGGAAGGATCAAGAAAGATACAAGTAGGGATACGGAAAATGGAAAGGCAAGTCCCGGGGCGCTGTGGAACCGTGGTGAGCCAGGGGCAGGTGGCACTTATTGTCCATGAGGAGGACCCATGGGGTACTGCACCTGATTCCTATCAGGACGTGAGCTGAGTCTCATGGTTTAACTTTCTATGATTCACTGTGCCTTTGGAGGCTGGATTCAACGCATCCAAGTGCAGAACTGCTTAGCTGGACCTCCAAAGAAATAACCTGAACACCGGACCACACACAGCCAGTCACTCCATCCCAGATCTCGTGGAGGGATCGCTTCATTGATTTTATTCCCAGAGAAGAGAGACGTTCGGGTCATCTTTACGTTGCAACCTCTGTTTGAATGATATTTCCGCCTTTCTCTCACCTGCAGACAGGACCTCATTAAAGAACCGGCTTTGTGCATAGCAGTATAGTTTGAGTGTCTCTTTTATGTACTGCAACCTCAATGGGAAAGACCTTATGAATTCTCGCCATGCAGCACTCACGGAAATTAAGACTAAATGGCCATTAATTGCCGAAGAATGAGATCCTTACTTAGTCTGCTAATTTAGTGATAAAGTATTCTGATACAAAACATGTGTCATTCCCGTGAAGAGAGACTAGACAGGCTGAAAGAGGGAATGACACCCACTTGAGGTGTCCATGACGATCTTGGAATTTTTGAGATCCTAAATTTTTGTTCCTGCTTCCTTTTGGGGGGGCAGGGAGTGGGTACCAGAGATTGGACTCAGGGGCACTCGGCCACTGAGCCCCATCCCCAGCCCTATTTTGTATTTTATTTAGAGACAGGGTCTCACTGAGCTGCTTAGCGCCTTGCTTTTGTGGAGGCTGGCTTTGAACTTGCGATCCTCCTTCCTCAGCCTCCCAAGCCGCTGGGATTCTAGGCATGCACCATCGCACCCAGAGGTCCCTGCTTTCTTAAATGACACTTTACATGATGCTTGCCTTCAGCTACATGTTTGTGCATCAAAGTCCATATTTCCCTGACTTCTGTGACTCAGCACCCCAACTGACCAAGTCACTGCAGAAACATTGTGTCCCAAGAACATTTTGGGTAGAGGCCCGAGAAGCTGTGTTTTCAAATAATTTCTTACAAAGTAATTTCTGTCTTTGGAAAAGCTCCTTCGCCTTGGGTTCTGGAGAAGTGGCGATGATCACTCTCAACAACACTGGGAACTGGCCTACTGGTCCCCTTTAAAGGGATGGTTGCTTGGCTTTACCTAGGAGAAATGCATCTTCGCCCCAATATACTGATTTCACATTTTCCATGAGGCTGGCAGGATGCTTGGGCCCTGCACAAAGAGGGATGGAAACAGCGATCTTTGATTCTAATCTGGGTAGGGTGGGAGAGTGAGCTACTTAGTATTTAATATGGATATATCAGGTGAACATCGTGATAGAAAAATACACCTAAAACCAGAAAACAAATGATTCTTCATGGGGCCAAGGAAGAGAAGCTGTGTCTGGCCCTCACAAAGAATGTCTAAAATAATGTTCTCGATTCTTCCTTGGCAAACCCGGGCTGGGACACCATTTCAGCCAATGACCTTCCTCTCCCCTTGGTGGCCACACCAGATTTCCAAGTGCATCTTGCTTTTCTCTTCTGTGACCTCCCTCTCTATTTACAAAGGCGTTATTCACTCTCCAGAATGCAGTTCTCTAAGGTCTTCTGAGTGCTCCAGAAAGAAAACCCAGTTTTCCCTCGAGGGCCTCCAGATCTGGCCCCTGACCCCTTTCCAAGCTCAATGTCAAGCAAGCTCTCCCGACTCACTGTGCTCCAAGCATGCTTAATTCTTTATGTTCCCACAACATGCAAAGAGCTATTCACTGGCCTCAGGACCATCGCACACGAAGCGAACTCCGCCTGGCTTGTTCCACCAGCTGATCCTCATAGGACGGATTTCTCATCATCCAGGATTCAGCCCCTAGGTCCTGCCTCAGAAAGACTTTCTATGCAAAATCATGTTAAAGTCGATATCCACCCCACAGAGCCTTCATTTCACCAAACGGACAGATTTACTGCTCTCTAAAATAAACAGATTTTTGGTTTTGGTTAGGGTTATTTGTTTTTTGGGGGGGTTGGTTTCTGCGAGGAGAATATGGGTACCATCAGAGAGGGGCCTTCCGGTCCTTGCTTATCAGCCCACAAAGCCATGGTTGTAACACAGCAAGTGCTAAAGAAATATATGTTCCATGGATGACTAAACAAAAGACCAAAGTCTATATCGTTTGCCCCCAAATTCCACAGGAGGGTCTACACTATAAGGATGCTCCGACCCTGTCTACACAGCTGGTGTTGCTCTAAACTCCCTGTTCTGGGCGGTTCTGAGTCCCACTTGGGTTAAAAATTCATGGGGAGAGTTACAAACTTGGGAGATAGAAATCTGGGCTCTCATCTGGAATCTTCCAAGCCTGTCTCGTGTAAATTCAGGTTAAGAAGTGATGTCATCCAACGAAAAAGAGGAGAGAGAGAGAGAGAGAGAGAGAGAGAGAGAGAGAGAGAGAGATATTAAAATACCAGGCTCTGCAGTCCATCGGACTGGGTGGGGATCCTGAGCCATGATTTTTCCACTGTGTGGCCTCGGGGGATTCACTGTGGAACACGTCTCTCACTGGAGTTTAGAGCAGTAGCCTGATGTGGGGTGAGGGGCTGGGGTTGTGGCTCAGTGATAGGGAGCTATAGCCTAGCACACGCAAAGCCCTGGGTCCAATCCTCAGCACTATATAAAATAAAATAAAAATAAAATAAAATAGAACAAAGGTATTGTGTCCAATTACAATTAAAAATATATATATTAAAAAAAAGCACGGGTGATTTATATACATTGTGAGGTCATTAAGCAATTAAGGTGAACTTCATATATTTTCTTGAAATAGCCTCATGATAGTGTGAGGAATTAGGACTTCCGTCTCAAAGGGGCCTCGTTAATTCTCCATCGGACGGCCATGGGAGCTATGACTCTAGCTCTATAAATCCAGATGTTACTTGGGATCATGGAAAACTTCTTTCTGAATGCGAAATCACATCGAATTGATTAACGAGCTAATTGCTCAACCTTTCACTCCAGTCTGCCTGTGTATACTAATTTCAGTGGGAGAGAAACAAGAAATAGATCCCCTTGTTATTTATATTCACCTAAGTCCACATTCCATGCCTGTCGAGACGGGCAATTAGACTTCTAATTAGTTTTCCAAAATGGATTCAAGGGCTCCTTTCTCACACAAACTGGAGAAAATATGGGTATCAAAATGAAGGGAGCATTACACTTTGAAGGTCTGTGTGCCAGTAACACGATATCATTACATATTCAGGCTGTGACTGAGAGCTCTCTCTCTCTCTCTCTCTCTCTCTCTCTCTCTCTCTCTCTCTCTCTCTCTCTCCCTCTCCCTCTTTCTTACATGCACCCACCCACCCAGAATTAGCAAAATCAAGCTAGACAACTCACCGTCATTTCTCAGTATCAGAGGTGTAGGTGGCCCCAGGACCTTGTGATTCGTCACGGTATTGGTGACCACACAGGTATAGTTCCCGACATCTGATTTTTCTACTTTGGCAATGTACAGATTCCCGGTCTCTTGAGACACGAAACGGCGATTATCCTGATAGGAAGGGTACTCGTTGAAGATCCAGGCGTAGCTCAGCTCTGAAAGTAAAAGGAAGCATCGTTGTTAGAGATACGACTTGGGGAGACTTGAACTTGACAGTATTCAGGAAAGAAATGGTCAAGGTAGAAATTCACACTGTTGCCCAGTGATTCCCCTTCAGCCTGTAAGACATGGATACAAAGTAATCACACAGTATCTTCGTCAGTTCAATAAGGTTTTATTTGTGGAGAACTAGAAGATACACTGAGAGCTGATGCTGAGAAGTCCAGACTTGATAGTTTGCCAAGCGTGTACCAAGGTCTATGCACCTCTTACTCATGCTCAGACCACACACCCAGGGCATCTATCATCTTGATACGGTAATAGAACCCCCCAGGAAACGGTTCACACTTTCATTTCATAGGTAACCGTACGATACACCACAACACCACATATCTGCACCAAACTTCTGGTTTCCAGTGCATCTGATAGTTTCCCGTTAACTGAGATGCTTTGGCACAAAGGAACAAAATAACGCACATCCGCACTCTTAGCCCTGGTTAGAGTCGGAATCCTACCCAGAGTCTCAATCCGGTCTTCTCCCAATGTCTCCCACTATGGACCCAAATTCTACTCTCTTCTTATTTATGAGGTTGAACATTCCTGCCTCATTTTAGGGATACAGCAGTTTAACATCACAAAAACACTCAAAAAAAAAAAATCATTGCAAACGCTCATTAAATCCACCTAAGCTGACGAATTGACGGGTCCTGCAAATATAAATCTGTATTTTTTAAAAAATAGTTGGATGTGCTATTCTCTACGTCAGGGAGTACATGGGGGAACCCTGGGGACACAGCAGTAGATTTGCAAATATGTACTCTTCCCGGAATATCAGGGGCATAAATGTAACGGGCAATCAGGCTTGAAAATGCTCTTTTGAAAGGTCTTATTTTTCCTAGGGATTAGGTAAATGCTTTCTGAATGAACATATAACCCCACGCTTTCAATTTCAAAAAAAAAAAAACAAAAAAAACCCTAAATGACAGTGAATTTGAATGATCGATGGCGGGGACCCCACATAGTCCAAGGAAACCTGACTTCTTCAGTGCCAGGCACCCCAGGATGGCTCTCTTAATGAACTCCAGGTTGTCCAAAGCTGAGAAGTGACAGTCCAGCTCCTGGCCCCGATTAGCCAACGTTTTGTCTGAAATAATCATTTGGTTCAGGGGATGGGGAAGGAGCAATTGGAACGCCAAGTAGTCGGCTGAGTTACCACGTTGCTCTTTAAAGCGCTCCTGGGTTAAATTCCAAATGCACGGAGTGTCCTTCGAACATGGTAGAAAGGCCACTTGAGTCTTGTAAAGAGAACATTAATTTTACCCCGAAAGGTATTTTTGCCTGTTCCGTCCTTTCCATGAATCCCAACTGCGGTTGACCTGGAGAACTGGATGGACAAGAGGAAATCGAGGAAACCCTCTTGGCTTTAATGATCTGCTGTTGACGTACAAAGGAGGGGTCTATGCCGGGTTGCTTTCCCTTTTACGCCAGGATTAGAACATTTCCGCCTGCTGTTGCTTTGGAGAGACCCAATTATGTTTATAGGAGAAGAGCTAATCACTTTATTTATGCGTGTGCCTGTAATTAGAAGTCACCCCATGCCGATGTCAAGAGGGTATGCAGCGTAAATAAACAAGTGCTTCCTAGTAAACTAGTCACTTCCTTAAGAAATTAAAACCACAGAGAGAAGAAACCTCTGTCCTAGGTCCTGAAGTACAATCACTATGGCAGGCTTCCTGCAAGAAGGGATTTTAACTGAAGGCACAGCATGGGGGTCTCCAGCTAGCCCAGGTCTCAGCACTTCAAGAAGCACACAGTCTGTCTCCTTAGAGAGTTTTAAGTACAAATGAGCATCTCCAAAGCCACAAGCTTTAGAAGTTAGAAAGTAATTCACCAGCACAATATGAACCAAAGCACACACCTCTCTGCAGAGAGTTGCAATGGATCACCGACAACTGTACACGTCTTCCCGGAAGATGTTTCCTTCAAAACTTTTCTCGTGGGTGGTGGCTGCGGGGCTCTGGGGATTCTGTGGGAGGAGGCACCTACAGCATCTTCTAAGTGGGCTTAGAAATAGGCATCCAGGGGACTGGGGTTGTGGCTCAGTGGTAGAGCGTTCACCTAGCATGCACGAGGCCCTGGGTTCGATCCCCACCACCACGTAAACGTAAAATAAAAATATTGTTTCTACCTAAAAACTAAAAAAAATAAGTATTTAAGAAAAATAAGAAAGAAAAAGGCATCCGGAAGGTCAGACCCATGTTCAAGTCTGAGTTTGCAAAAGGAAAGCTGGGTAAACTCTGTCACTTTGAACTTCTGAATCCTGGAAATAGTGCTGATTTTCAACAGGTGAGAATCGTTGTGTGAAATGTCACCTGGAAATCTCTCAAGGGCTGAACTGAGCTCGTCATGACTGGTTTACCCTTCACCAGCTGAATCCTTGTAAGAGTTAAATAAAAAATTGTGAAGGAATCGTATTCCATTAGCATGCTACTTGAGCTATTGACAAACCAGTTAATTCCTTTGGTCTCACTGCGTTGAGACTGAACTGACTTGGTACTTTAGTGGGAGACATAAACAAGCCTATGTGCACACTGTAGTGTCTCTCTCTTTCTTTCATCCCCAACCCTTTTTATGTTTTATCTAGAGACAGGGTCTTGCTAAATTGCTTAGGGCCTCTCTCTGTTGCTGAGGCCGGCTTTCAACTTGTGATCCTCCTGCCTCAGCCTCCTGAGTCTCTGGGATGACAGGCATGCACCACCATGCCAGGTATCCTGTGGCATATGATCAATCATAGTTTTTGCATATTTCCTGTTCTCTGCCCCCCCCCGTTTCCCAAAAGTTAAAGGGTCATCTGATCCCATGACTTTGAGAAGCACTGTGTTAAACAAAGTTAAACAGATTAAACTTTTTTTTTTCCTTTCAGAACTGGGAGGAGATCTCAACATGCCAATGTCCTTGAAATTCCTTAGAGTGTTTAATTACTTAAATATATTTGATAATACCACCCCTACAACACACACACACACACACACACACACACACAGATTGATTTTCTAAAACATCCATTCATAGCTCACACAGATTAGCTTGGAAAATCCTGCAATAATACAATTCAATTAAAAAAAATAAGAAAATTAAAAATATAAGAAAAAATAAAGCTGATACCTGCATTACTTCAGTGTTTGAGAAAGTTATTAAATGGAACAAAAAACCCACAAACTTAGCAATACTCCTCTATACTTCTTAAAAAAAATAGAAGAAAGTATTTTGAAGCTTTTTATCATACAGAAATGAAAATACTAGAGTAGATAGGGTTAGCGTGCTTCAAACATAAATCTTACCTGCCTTGACTTATCACATGCTAACCTACAAATGTGTACAATTTTCATGTGCTAATGTACCCCTGATAAATAAATTGAATAAAAAGTAAATAAACAAAAGGCCAATTCATGAAGGAGATAGAGTAGTAAAGAGAAATTAAAGTGGGCTCAGAGGTAGAGCCCTGGACTAGCACGTGTGAGGAACTGGGTTTGATCCTCAGCCCTGCATACTAAAAGTAAGGAAATAAAAAAATGTTTTGTGTTTTTTTTTTTTAAAGAGAAATTTAAGTACGATCATGGATTAGCCAAGTCCTGCTCAGATCTTTTAAAACATAATTTGCAGAACAGACTTGAGGTGCCTCACCCATTAGTGTAGCCTCGGGCGGGGGATCAAGCTGTTCAGTCATAATACGTGTCCACGTTGTCCTGCACGATTAAGGGCCAGTGAATTCTCACGGTACCTTCTCTAGGGTCTCCTGGGGCCAAACTGGGCCCCTGGCCTGACTCCAGTATTTCCATGAAGTCAACTGGAAGAGTTCTCTGGAACTCTGCTCTAAAGAGAAGAGTTGATCTCCAAATTGGATAGAGAGAAAAAATCCAAAAAAAAAACAAAAAAAATGAAAGAGAGCCATCCAATAGCAAAATGATTATGTTGTAAGAAATTTCCCAAAATTGTAACGAGGGAGACGTAGAGGGGCAGAGGCAGCCCGGGCAAGATGGCGAGAGAGGAGTTCAGAACAGGGTCAGAACAAGGAGCATGCAGAGGGTCTTCCAGTGAGGTCAACTTGGAGGACCCAAGTGGGGGACCCAGTCATGCTCCTAAGTGGGGGACCCAATAGAAAAACTCAGACAGACAGGTGGACAGAGGGGCCACCCATCAATACTAGTGAGGAGCATGTGGACAGGAGATAAGGTACGAAGAATATTCCAGAGACCATAAAAAGAACAGGCCAACACTCCCCCCTCGGGATTCCCAGATGTCTCTGTCACTTTTTGCAATAAAACTGCTGCTTTCCTATGTCTCTGTGCCCTGTTCTTCAGTTTTTTTTGGCTCCAGGAGACCATGAACCCAGCACCCCTAGACGGTCACCGTGATAACAATATCACAACTTAACCCATTTTTGCATATTGCAAACCAAAAGAGACCACCACCGCCACGGTCAAGACGGGTATCAAAGATGAGTCTCAGAAGTTCAAGTTTGGACTTAGGAATGCACCGCGGCGTCCTGAAGTTCAAAGGTCAGCCATGGGCTCTGCTGCTGATCTGGTGGAATCACGCTAGGCTCAGGGCCGAGACTCCCGCACGCAGGGGACAACTTTCACCAGGATATCAACTTGATATTCTTTACAGCAAACATCACCACTCGGAAGAGTGTAGTTTTACTTGTCGAGATGTCCCGGGCCATCACAGAGGAGTGGGGGGAATATAATGCAGCAATAACACTTGTATGGGAGCAGACAAGAGATGTGCAGTAAGTTACCAACCGATCATTTCTCCTTCCTTTTGAAGGTATGAAAATTCTGGGGCTCAGAAAGGGTCTCGTGGGGGCATGTGCCAGAGGCAGAGTGGGCAGCAACCTAGTCCTGACTGAGCTCTGTTTCCAGGGCTCTTCTAGAAAACAAAGGCTCTTGACATTTCACAGTCAAAAGCAGGATGGATAGACCACTCAGAGACA